ATGTCACTTTTTTATTCTGCCTTTTTCCCCTTTATTTTTCTTCATTTTTTTCCTTCATGTCTGTTTCATTTTTATATGATTTTATATTTCTTGTTTCTTCTTCTTCATTCACTTTCATTCTTGATTTCGGAGTGTACAAATTTAATTCTTTATTTTCTTTATGAATTTTTTCTTCGTTCACATATAATTTCCTCTTATGCTTATATGGACATTTTTGCTTGTTTTGGTGTCAGGAACCCGCCCACGAAGTATGTAAAAGTATTTTTGATTCAGCCTGTATATTATAATGTATTTGGGCAGCACTCCCACTTTTCCTTCACTTCCATTCTTGTTTTCGGGCTGTAAAAATTTCATTTTCATTCTTCATTTTAGAATGATAGATGTGTCAGATGGAATCTGACGATAAAAACCTTCTGGCACGACACAGTAAACCGATTTTCCTTGCAGTAGATGTAGCTATTGATTCAATGTAGTTGTTTTACCTCAAGTCATTAGAAAACGTGAGGCCAAAAATTGTAGTTTTTTCTTTACTTACCTTTCCTTTTATTCTTTTCTTCGTTCTAAAGATATTTTCTTTTTATTATATTTACTCTTTTACTCATATAATTGCCTCCATTTTTTGGCAGCCATTTGTGCGTTTTTCTTTTATTTTCGTCCCTTTGTTTTTCATGTCTTTCTTTTTTCTTTTTGTTTCTTCATCTTTTCTTCATTTTTTATGTCTTCTGGTTTAGTCTTTTTTTCTTTTCACCCGACAATCTGTGTTCTTTCTTTCTTTTTCTTTCTTTTTTCTTAATTTCTTTTTCTTTCTTTCTTCTTTCTTAATTTCTTTCTTTCTTTTTCTTTTTTTCACTCTTTTGTGTTTCCTTTTCTTTTTCTTCTATCTTTATTTTATTTTTATTTTTTCCGAAATTTTCTTTCTTTCATTCCTTCTTTTCTCCTCCAGTTTCTCTTCTTTTTCTTAATTTCTTTCTTTTTTTCTTTCTTTCTTTTCATCCTACTCTCTCTGTTCTTTTTTATTTTTATTTTTCTTCTTTCTTTCTTTTTTCTTAATTTCATTTTTCTTACTTTCATTTTCTTTTTTCTTTCTATTCATCAAACAGTTCTGTTGTTTCTTTTTATTTCCTTTTTCTTTCTTTCTTTCTTTCTTTCTTTCTTTCTTTCTCTCTTAATTTCATTTTTCTTACTTTCAGTTTCTATTCCTTTATTATTTTATCTTAATTTCTTTCTTTTTCTTTTTTCTTTCTTTCTTTCATTCTTTCTTTCCATCCTACGGTTTATTTTCTTTCTTTTATCTTAATTTCTTTCTTTTTTTCTTACATTATTCTTTCTTTCTTTTTTCATTCTTTCTTTTCATCTTACAATTTCTATTCTTTTATCTTAATTTCTTTCTTTTTCTTTCTTTCTTTTTTCTTTCTTTTATCTTAATTTCTTTTTTTCTTTCTTTCTTTCTTATCTTAATTTCTTTCTTTTTTCTTTCTTTTTTTTCTTTCTTTTTTTCTTTCTTTCTTTCTTTTCCCTCCGTTCTTGTTTATCTTTAATACATGTCTGTTTTTACTGATATTTCTATTTAAGTCCGACTTTAGGACCTAATCATGTCGAAACATCGGTTCTTGTCCGATTCTTCTTTTTTATTCTGTAAATTTCTCTTTTTTTCGAAGATCTCGTTTTTAGAAAAAAACAAAAACAAAAAAGAATGTTCTTTATGCTATCTGTACTTTCTTATATTTTCTTTTTTCTTTCTTACTTTCTTTATTTCTTTCCTTCTTTCTTTCTTTCTTTCCTTTTTTTCGGTAAATTACATTTTTTTACATCAAGATCTCTTTTCAAGTCAGCCTTTTTTTTCTTCCTTGCATTATCTATATTTCTTCTTTATTTAATCATTTCACTTTCTTTCTTTCCTTCCTTCCTTCTTTCTTTCTTTTTTACTTTTTTTTACTCGCTTTCCTTTTCGTTTTCTTTCATTCTTCGTTTTTAATCTTTTAAATCTCACAATGTTTTTTATCAAGATCTCTTTTTTGTTTACATTTTTCTTTTTTCTAAAGTTATCTCTATTACTTTTTCTTTCTTTCTTTCTTTCTGTCTTTCTTTCTTTCTAATTTGAGTGTTTCTTTCTTTTCCATTACGGTGTTTCCGTAATGTCTGTTTTTTTCTCACTGCAGTCAAATACTTAATTTTTATAATTTTTATATTTCCTTTCTTTCATTGTTTCTCTTTCTGTCTTCATACGAAGATAGATTCTACGACTTACTTTGTAGCGTATAGAAATTTAGGCAGCCATATTTAATCTAACTGTTTCGCAATAAAAGCATATCTATACGTAGCTTGTCACATTTTTTTCTTACCTCAGTCTGTACGCGTATTTGGATTTTTTTAGTGTCGTGAATCTGTGGTCAGAACAAATAACCACGTTAAAATCATATCACGCAATCCATCGCAGTATGGAGCATTGTTTAATTTTGTTTGTTTGTTAATAGTAATTCTTTTTTTTTTTTTAAAGCGTCAATTAATGACAACTATGAAGAATTTGCAGATTGAAAGACACGAAGATGTATTCTCCTCACATAGGAACTTAATTAGATCGAAATATTTTTTATTGAATTCTTAGAGAAAATGGGTACTCTTATTTTTCAGGGAAATAAATTCGTCCTAATTGCCTGGTTTTGCGTACCACAACGGATAATGACAATTTATTGAAGCCAAGCTCAATTCGCGTGACAGAACAAATGTACGAGTTGCGAAAAAAAGTCAAAAACAGTCTCTCAAATTAACCCGCTGAAGAAGAGAATCAAACCGAAAAAGTGTGCTCCCCAACATATATATATATATATATATATATATATATATATATATATATATATATGTCCTCTTTTATATATTATCATGCGATCTGTTATCGATATCGATATTTTTTTATATATATATATACCTCAATATATATATATATATATATATAGATTATATTTTGAGGTGTATATATAGAGATGATAATGGCAAAATAATAAAAGTGACACTCTGAGGACAACATCGTATGGCGACAATTTGTTTCATGTTTGAGCGCAATCATTTCAGGCTATATATATATATATATATATATATATATATATATATATATATATATATATATATATATATATGATGCAAATATAGTTTTGAGGTATATATATATATAGAAAACGTGTTCGATATCAGTAACAGATCGCATATATATATATGGGAGACATGGTGGAATAGTGGATAACGGCTCGGATTGAAGAATTGGAGAGCTACGTTCGAATTCCAATCAAATCCATTACATTCATTTACGTGCTAATACCCTTGAGATAGGTATTAATCCTCTTCTCCCTCCAGCTATGGGTAAATAGCAGGACAGACTGGGTTCTATAGCCTTGGATAGCAACTGGTCTAGGAGAAGGACAACTCTGAATTCAAAACCTGCGGAGGTTCGTTTAGGGTCCTTGTGGCACGTAGTGCATCAGGTCTCTGTATTCCGCCCTTCAAAAAGTGTGGATGGTCCTGCGCGAAAATTCCACCAATATAATCATATATTGTCGAGAACTGATCTGCTTGACGATCATACGTCGGATTCGACGGAAGAGTCGAGCAATATATATAATGGACTCTCCCGTCAGTTTTGGCGTATGAGGATCTGACAGCTTAATTGTTTCAGTTATGAAATTTTGTGTGGTAATCTTAAGTGGCACTTAAGACCCACTAGTGATTTACAAAGGAGGCCACATATGGAACAAGAGTGAGGATTATGAGATGAGATCACTGTTAGTTTGGCTGACCTTTTAGATCTTGCTCTCGCTTCTTGAAGACGATTCAGAGAAGTGGATAAAAAACTGATGGGTCCACTAAAACATGTTGATCTCCATTCTGCCCGCTCCAAGGCTAAGCGCTCAAGGGTATTATGTGGTATATTGACAGCTGACACGAATAAGGATGAACGAATCAAGGTAAACCGCCAGAAAACCCACAAAAGTGATTTGATTAAAGTAGTGAAGGCTTGTGCAGAACATTCACACTTTTAGGAACTATTGATATACACACACACACACACATATATACATACATACATATATATACATATATACATGCATATGGAAGAATAAAGAACAAATACGAAACGTATATTATAAAGACAGAAACACTGGTATTTTCAACTTTTTGGGAGTCAGTTCTCATTGGAAAGTCACATATTACGTGCATTAAACTAGTAGATAATTCTATATAGATGTAAGTTTGTGAAGATTCTTGTGCGTCTAAGCGGGCATGGGATGGTAATATGTATTCGTGATTGTGTACAGGTTGCGATGGATAAGTTGTCGTCTAATTTACGCAAAAATGAAAAATAATACTGGCATCTCATTTTAACAGATATATTTAGCAAAATTACACAAAAAATATCTTGAAATACTAAAGAGTAAATTTATTCAATCAAATCGTCACTGGCTTCAATGACGCCCTCCAAACGACTTCGGAATATCCTGCGACTCTTCTGGACGGTCTCCTTGTTTAAGTTGGTGAATGCTGCCATAATCATTGCCTTTAGTTCATCTTTGGTGTTAAAGGAGTTTTTTGTCTCTTATTCAACTGCACCCGACGCACAACAATCACGGGTGTTGCAGTCTGGGATGTTAGGTGAGCAAATATATGGGGTGACGTGGTCGCAGAAATTGTTTGACAGTCATGACTGAGTTCTTCTGCTTGTGTGGCATGATGCAGAGTCCTGTTGCTAGACATTAGGGTCATCCCTCTGCCACTCTTGACCCAGAACAGCATTACATCCTGAAGGTACTTGATTTAGGCCTCCATGTTGCGTTTGAGTCCCTGTGGGAAGATGAACAGAGGCATGACGTTATCATCACAAATGATTACTGCAAACACCATGATGTTGACTGGATATTTGGTTTTAAATACTCTTGGTACATATTGTGGGGACACAGCAAGCCAACACCAATCCTGGTAGAAATTCTTCCCATCTGATAAAAAAATAGTATGTTCTGTTAGTGGAAATGCTTGGGTTTTTTTCAAAAGCTTCGTAGCGTGGTCTTTCCTCTTGTATTTATCGTATGAGAAATATGAAACCTCTTCATGCACAATCTGCCCGATAAGAGACCCAGATCCTCCAGTGCCCCTGGTTATGAACCTAATTGACGTGGAGGGATCGTTGTCGATCAAGGCCTGAATCTCACTAACAAATTCTTATTTGAACAATCAAAGAGTTTTCCCAACAGCTGTACCTTCGTAATCACCATTAGACCCATCTAACTCTATCCGAATCCTCTGCACTTTCCTCAGATTGACACCCAAACACTCTGAAATGTTCGTATTGGAGCTTCCGGTGCCAATGCTAAGCAGTACAGCATGCCGCTTCCAAATTTCTGGTGGAGTGAATTTCGCCATGGTGCTGTTTCTATCACAGACATTGTCCAACTCAACCTACTATACTGTACAGTCGACAAAATAAATAAAAAAACGCGCATGCGCGAAATTTAAATATTGCGACAATTTACTCATCGCACCCTAGTGATAATAAGCAAACTTAAACAGATAGCGACAACGAGAGTAAGAAATGAATTGAAGTAAATAGACAGCTAAAGAAATACAGAAATGTTAAACATAAGCGTACATAGGTAGAGACAGATTATAGTGTATTTTTGATACAGCCTGTATATTATAATGTATTTTTGATACAGGTAGTATATTATAATTTATTTTTGATACAGCCTGTATATTATAATTTATTTTTGATACAGCCAGTATATTATAGTGTATTTTTGATACAGCCTGTATATTATAATTTATTTTTGATACAGCCTGTATATTATAATGTATTTTTGATACAGCCTGTATATTTTTTTTAAGCATTTCACCCCAATCAAGGAGGCAAGGGGTTACAGAAAATTTAGAGCAAGATCAGATTGGAGTGATAGAAGAAAGGATGAGGAAAAGAGTAGTGGATAGATCAAGGCAACTGGAGATGTCGATTGACATTACACTTGAATAGCTGGAGATTATAGCTATAATTTATTTTTGATTCAGCATGTATATTATAATGTATGTTTGATACAGCCTGTATATTATAATGCATTTTTGATACAGTCTGTATATTATAACTTATTTTTGATTCAGCATGTATATTATAGTGTATGTTTGATACAGCCTGTATATTATAATGTATTTTTGATACAGCCTGTATATTATAATGTATTTTTGATACAGCCTGTATATTATAATGTATTTTTGATACAGCCTGTATATTATAGTGTATGTTTGATACAGTCTGTATATCATAGTGTATTTTTGATACAGCCTGTATATTATAGTGTATTCTTGAAACAGCCTGTATATTATCGCGTAATCCCTCATTTTTACAAATTTCTTTAAAGAAAACTGAAAAGGAACTGCGATTAAGCTATTTATTCAATTTTTCTGGCGTTCGAATTAGTGATTTCTTTTCTGGGCATACTGTGTCAAAATATCCAAATGGTCTCTATATCTGAGCGCTTTCGGCTGTTCTGTTAGCCATTTTCCAAGATATTTTTTTATTTTAACTTTTTAACTGAATATGTAGATTCTTCTTTACATACGCATCTGAGGTGATGTGAATGTTTATTTCTTTTTCATTTTATATTTTATTATTTTCCCAAAACGCTTAGAACATTGTGGCCGTACACACACACACACACACACACACACGCACACACACACACACATATATATATTCCTGTCTTCCTACATCTTGTTCATATCTATATATTTTAATTTGTGAAATCTAATCTCGTTGTAATGCCACTGGAAGTAATGACGTGTCCTGGATTCCATTTCATTAATTACTAATATTGGATCAATCAGTTTTGCTGAAATTTGCATTTTCCCCTACATCAAAACATTTTTTTTACATATCAAGTGGAGTGGAAATAGAAATCGATAAAAACAAAAAAAACAACAAAAAAAAAAACATCGAACATAAAATAAAAATATTTCAAAAATGTATTTAAAATGCGATACCAACAAAGACATATACTGAAATTAAGAGAAAGTAAAAATTCGATTCTTAAACAAATCAATGCCTGATCAATACGGAAAGAAAGGTAAACGCACGACTAATCAAAAACGAATGGATAAC